GGTTCATGTGGTGCTGCCTTAAAAAAAAAAAAAAAAAAAAAAAAAAAAATCAACCTAGCGCTTTTATTGTGACGGAACTTGAACAGAAGTGACGCTTGATGTATTTACGTCACCGCTGGTGGGCGGAAGTGAGCGGCGTCCGGGCGTTGAAGAGGTAAACAAACGCCGGAGGAATCTTCAAGCGTGAACATTTGAAGAGTCCCGGCGTTCGAGGCGACCTTTGTAGCTCGAACTACTGGCAAATGTCTCGCTTGAGAGGCGCGCAGCAGGTCGACTCACTGCGGGGCTTCAGGGCGCCCGAAAGTGAGCCCAGCGTCCCGTACGGACTCCTCAAGGCGGCCCGGCAGAGCGGGACGCTCAACCTGAGCAATCGGAGTCTGACCGAAGGTGCTTTCACACGTGGGGAAGTTCCCCAAACCGCCATTCGCGTCTTGGCTGCAGCGGGCAAACGATGTCCTTTTCTTCGAACTGAATCCAGATCAAAGTGTCGAAATCGCTATCTAATCCAAATCACATGGCAGCCAACCTAAAAATTCGAAGCCCAATCGCGTCGTTAGATCGGTGGCGTGATGACGGATCGTTCCTGAAGGCACCCCGTCCCGTTGACTACGGTGGACTGAAATTGTTGACTTGGTCAAATTGCGCTGAGCAGCCTGGACAAAGGCCACATGCGGACCACTCCGATCCAGCCTGATAAACGACATTTTTCCTTCTTTGCCATCTCGAGTTCCCTTATATGGCGGCATTAAAAAAAAAGAATACAATAAAAAGCAAAACACTCTTGTCGAGGTCGTCCTGTCGATGCTCGCTGATCCAAAGTTTTAAGTTTTGTTGGACTTCCATTTGGAGGGAAGAAAATTCCAATAACCAATGAATCAGCCCGTTTGTTTAAAAAAAGAGCACATCATGTATCAAGTAACTTCTTTTTGCTGTCCTAATAAAGATGTTAATTACAGGCAGAACATTTGACTGTTTCGCAATACTTTCTAGTGAGATAGTCCTTTGGTATTTAACTTTTCAACAGAATGTTTGAATGTTGTCATGTGTGAATGTCTATGAACTGCGAAACGACATTACAAGACCTCATCTTAGCCGATGAAATCGGTCAATAATGTCATGTGTTGATGTTTTTTTTTCTCTCTCTCTCTCTCTCTCTCTTCCCCCTCCGCCAGTCCCGGCGAGCGTGTACCGGCTGAATGTGGACACCCCCGAGGAAGCCCATCACAACGTGTCGTTCGGCGCGTCCGAGCGCTGGTGGGAGCAGACGGACCTCACCAAGCTGCTGCTGGCGTCCAACGGGCTGACGCGCTTGTCCGACGACATCCGACTGCTGCCGGCGCTCACCACGCTCGACGTATGCCGGCCTCACACTGACAGGCGCTCTCGAGAGTAACCAAAACACCGGGGGCTGAACCAAAAGCAGAGAAAATGAGCTTACTGCGAAAAGAAGACTTGGACGCTCATGTTTATTGCTTTTATGACACTCTAAAGTCTACACTTTGTACTTGTGATCGGTCTCCCCCTGCATCGACGGTTCGAGATGTCGTGACCGCCGCTTGTCGTTGCCGTTTCAGCTGCACGACAACCAGCTGCAGACGCTGCCGCCCGCCTTGGGGGAACTGCGAGAGCTTCAGCAGCTGCGACTCAGGTAAGGCGCGCGTCGGACCTCGTGTGCCCTTTCGCCGTTCGCGCCGCGACGTCCATAATTCGCCTTCGCGGCTCGTCGAGCGCCCACTCGATGTTGTGCCGTTGCTGCAGTCACAACCGCTTGAGCTCGCTGCCGGCGGAGGTCTTCTCCCTGAAGAACCTGCGCAGCCTGACGCTGCAGCAGAACCTGCTGGACGCGCTACCCGAGGAGCTGGGCCAACTGGAGGCGCTCACTGAGCTGGTAGCTACCCGTCCACCGCTCCATTTTGGCGTGGCGTCGGGGAACGGGACCCCTTGGGGTCGCGAAATACTTCACTGTGCGTCTCCAAACGGGGCCTCCTGTGAAAAAGCCTGATGTCGCCCCCCCC